ACATTACATTTTTAAGGCATGGATATGGGGTAATTTCCATTATTAGCAATATTTGTCTCAAAGCTACTTTTGAAAAATTACACTGAGCTGCTTGAAAGTCTACTAAATAACTGAAATACAGCCTTTGAAATTTTAGCCATTAGTAGTATATATAAATATTTAATGCAATGGATGCCATGATGTTAATATTTTTATATACAGTATAAATGTAGAAATATTAAAATGTGCTTCTGTCTCAGATTTTATTTGGGGGGGGGGGAGAGAGAGAAAGAGAGAAAGAGAGAGAGAGAGAGAGAGAGAGAGAGAGAGAGAGAGAGAGAATGCCATTCTGAAATTCTTGACTTGGCAAGAGGAGACTCTGACCCCAAAGTAAAGCCGCATCCGAGGGAAGGAGGTGGGAGTGCGCGTCTGCATTCCCGGGCCACTGCCCACACACGGGCCCCCGGCCAGAGCTGACTCTGGCATTCTGCACGGGAAACGCTGCCCATCCAAGGCTTTATTTTATTGGAGAAAGAGGGACATCTCTGCACAGACTGGCTATTTGAAACTTCGGGTGTATGAGGAAAAAAGCTGCCACTCCGTGTGTGAACCAAGGAAGAGGGCAGGACCCTGAAAGAAGTTTCTACATCTTTCTTGGTAAACATTAGAGGAGAGTAGCGCTAAATGATGATGAAAGAATACACACACACACACACACACACACACACACACACACACACGTGTGTGTGTGTGTCAAAATGTTGGGGTGCAAATATAGACAATGTCTAAAAAGAAGAAAGTAAGTTTACAACTTAGCAAACTCTTAGCATCCATTTACACTATATGTTTCTGAAATATTACCTGGAAAGTTTTAGTCTTCTCCAGGAATCAGATTTGATTGACGACCTCAAGATTGGATTATCAATGATATCGGAATCTAAAATGTTTAATTCTCTGAGCAGGAGTGTTTGACAGGTAAAATTCTGCACTTGCAGAGAACTTCCAATCTTGTGAAAAGTATCCTAGGAAAAGCGTAACATCCCGCCTGCACTTTCCGAGGTACTGCTTTATCTTCTAACACGTAACTAAAAGGCATGTAAGTGTGAACACTGCACAAAGTCACGACTGACACCACTAAGATACTCCATGGTTATAATAAGTTTGTTTCTCTGTAGTCCATCTATGTACTCATGGCATTCTCTAATAAATGTGTACCCCTGAAAGTGCTTAGTGACAGTGTAGGAGAAAGCAACTGATCATTCTTAATTAAGTTTCAAACGTGCTTCTTCACACAGCTGCACACGCATGTGTACTAGCCCAATTGTTAGTTGCACCTGCTCCAAGTTAGCCATATTTCATAGAGCACAGGCGAGAATGACATTTCCAAGTGTTAATCTGTTGAATGTAAATCTGTGCTTTCTTTCAATAGTTTAGGACTCACGCTTTGTGCCACAGAGGAGCCCCGTGTATACAATGGGGGCGATTTTGAATTTCCTTACTAGAAAACAAAGCTGTCTTTGACATCTAAAGTAAGTTATATTCTTCCATATTATTACTGAGTGATATTTTTCAATATTTATATAAAGGATTCTTTCATTCAACCAAACATTTTTTAAAGCTGAAACTTTTTTCAAACTGGTACAAGTTGCAAATAAGACTTTAAATCAGTGGTTCTCAACCTTCCGGCCCTTTAAATACATGTTGTGACCCAACCATAAGATTACTTTCGTGGCTACTTCATAACTGTAATGTTGCTACTGTTATGAATCGTAATGTAAATATCTGATATGCAGGATGGTCTTAGGCGACCCCTGTGAAAGGGTCGTTCGACCGCCAAAGGGATCACGACCCATAGGTTGAGAACTGCTGCTTTAAATTGTTCTTATCCTGCACCCGCTATATCCACCCCTTCAAATGCCATGATGATTTTTGTTACTCCCTTAAATCTTCAGTTTCTGAGCATTAAGAACAGCAATGATAAGAGGAAAATTACCTTCTTGAGATTATGAGCTTAAACTCCAGATTCTGCACGTGCAGTAAATCAGTTTCCAGAGATCACAGCCCTTTGGGTAGGAAACACCTAAAACCTGAAGTTGGAGTAACTATATAGCTCAGAGAGCCATGAAATGAACATTTTGTATTATATCTCTGTTGTATGAAATTCCAATCTCTTGTTTTATAACCTGATTTTTAAAAGAATGTATATTTATTCACACTTGTATTCTGCCAAGCATTAAATTAAAGGCATGTTTAACGAATTAAAAGCAACTACATAGAATCTTGACAGATAACTGTCTCTGCAGGGTTAGTCTCTGTCCTTCACTTGTTAAAAAAGTGACAAATGAGGTTCCCGTTTCCACAACACCAAAAGCTACCTCGTTTGCTACTAAGATAATTGCAAGTTTATGTAAACATAAATATTTCTTTAAGTCTAATGAAAATATACTCTACTTACAGAATTGGAGGTAAATGTTTTCAGAAACGTAAAGTTACTTAAGAAAGAAATTCAATAAAGTTCCTATCTTAGACTATCACGGTCTTCAATTAATTTTTACAAACTAAAATTTTTCTGTACAGCTACAAAAAGACTACATCCAAATGTTCTAAGAACCCACACTAGACACTTTAGAAGTAAACAAAACTAAGTGAACTTTTGTGTCAGTCAGTGGTACATGAGTCATAACTTATTCTGGAAACCTGGCTACTTATAAAACAATCTTTACTCAAAATAGCTCAAAGATACAAAAAGTTTTACAGATCTATCAAGAGCAAAGGAAAATATATACACCCACCTAATTTTTTTGTTGTTCAGGGCTTTGCAACTATTAACTTGCAAAATAATTATTTTATTTAAAATGAAATATTATATTCCTAAGAAGCAACAATTACCAGAAATCTCTGCAGTCCTTTAAATGTGACCACCCCTCCCTATCAAGCCAATGGGATATTCTTCCTCCTTTGTTTTTTGTTCTGCATCTGCATGAACATGGCTGCTAATTATATTATCCTGGTAGCACATAAGTCTGAATGGGGAAAAAAAATCTCATGATCCTTACTGAGCATAAAATATTTCTTGGGATTCAAATATGTATACTTGCTTAGATTGAGCACTCATATGTTGCAGCAAATTCTATTTTGTTAGAGAACTTAGCTCTGATCAGAATTTCTGTTTCATTCGTGATGTAGCACCTTTCCTAAAACCCACTGCATGTAGGCATGCATAGGAACGCGCGCGCACACACACACACACGCACACGCACACGCACACATAAACCTTGAGCCTTATCCTTCTACTTTGTGTATTCAGCTTCCCTATTTGCATATTTATGTTTTTCTTAAATTGTTTAAGTTCTTGAAGAGTTTGTAGTCACTCAAAACACCATATAGATCTAATGCCTACATTTGCCATAATAAAGCTCTACTATGTTAAATGGTTAAAGTTAAATCATATTTTTAAAACTGAAATTTAAAAGAGTATAAGAATGATATTTCCCACCCACTCATTCTCAGTTTTATGCTTTTACACAATGAATAAGCAAATGTTTTCTTTTCCAACTCATATATGAATATAAAAATGTTTTGAAAATGTTTATGCAATTTGGTATACTTAGCCTAATGTAGTTTAACAAAGTAAGCTCTCTTATTGTTCTGATCAGCTTTATCATTAAGACTAAAAATCCTTTAATTTAAAACATAAATTAATGTGTGGTAGAAAAAAAATAAAGTGGTTTATACATCATCAAGAAAATATTACATTCTTAAAATTATATTGATATGTCTATCTTCTTTTTCTTAATTCACAGGTCGAAATATATGTCATAAGATAACTCTCCTGGAAAAGATAAACATCCTGAGATAATACACAAGAAAAAGAACTATTCAGCTAAATACTGAACAAAACAATAACAGCAACCACCACTCATGACAACTGATAACAAAGAAGAACACTTAAGGAATTCTATCAGTTTCATTAGCAAATCCTTGCTCTTCTGAATACTTTACTGATTGGACTCTCAGAAATTTCCGTCAGTCTTGTCCTTTCAGCCTTTCTTTACGAAACAGTTGTTCGAAACGTAAGTGGCTATTCAGATTAATATATACTTTCCAGGGAAAGCTATTTTATAACAGGAGCGAGCAAGTACCTCCTAGTTCAAATTAACCACTTACAGTGGTCTATTTTTCACCTCTAAAGTATTTTCAGCCCCTCTTTCTGTTGCCCTTAGGAAATTTAAATTCAGAGACATGGCACTTCCATTATTGGCACCTTGCCTCTTTAAAACTGAACAACGTTCCTCAAGAAGTAGTACATATAATTCTCCACCCTATAGGATCAAACAATAGTATCTATTTCAGGAGCAATTACATGCATAATGTAAGAGAATATTTCTTCCTTAGAACTGTTTGCAATAATTGTGATTTGAAGGCTACTGGTCCGGTCATTGGCAATGGTGTTGCTAAGTTCATCTAAGTAATTCTCTTCAATCTACATACTTTTAAAACTCAATGTGGCTTCCAGATCAAGCCACTTTAACGATGCCATCTGCCCTACATAGTGGTTTGTTACAGCATTACACTTATAAGACAATATATTCCGTGAAAAATAACACGTCAATGAAGAAACAAAGATACTGCAAAAATAAGCGTATAGAAGTAAAAAAAAAAAAAAAAAAATCCACATTTCTCTGTTACCTGTATTACATGTGACGAACACGTTATTACAGTCATGGGAATGCAAAGCATAAAAGAACAACAGCTAATCTTGCTTTGCTTAAATTAAAGACAAGTTTAACCCGCACCCGCCAAACTGTCTTCCGAGGGACAGCAATAGGTGGGGGGTGGAAGGCTCACCCCTGTACCACACCGCGCGTCTCCCTGAAATCATCTTAAATATAGACAATATATGTCACCTTTTCTCTTTTACTTTTTCTCCCATTCTCATCCACTGCAGACCCAATACTGACCCCCCCTGCCCACTAGCTCAGAGGCGCGTTACAGGAGAAGAGGACCCAAGTGCCACTTACCAGTTGCATGCCACAGATAAAGATCAGCGTGCACCTGCCATTGCAATAACCCATGGTTTCCGAGACCCCTGCCACAGCCAGACTGTCCCGCGTCGGCCACCGTCGAGCCCCCACTTTATCCAATCAGATCGCCGGGAAGGACAGGCAGACCTGCCGAGGGCTCGGGGGCTCCGGGCTGCCGCTGCCAGCGTCCTGGGAACGGACAGGCATTAGGACCTGCAGGCGCCGCGGCGGCGGCCGCTCCAGCCGCGCCCGCCGCACATACCTTCACTCGCTCGGTGCGCACGCCGCGCCGCGGGCAACGCCGCCCGTGGAGACGCGCCCGGGGCCCGCAGGGGCAGCAGCAGTGGCCTCGCCGCGCCGCCGCGCCCACGGGCATCTGGCCGCGAAGTTGCGCCCGCGCCCGCCCGCCCGACGCGCGCCAGCCACGCGCTCCCCGCCCGCCGGCTCCGGGGGCGGCTGCCCGCCTCCCTGCGCCGCGCGGCTCCGGGGCGCCCGGATCTGCGGGGCCAATGGGGAGGGGGCGGGGGCGCGGCGCGGGCCGGGAGGGGGCGTCCGGGATCCGCGGTCCCGGGCGGCGGCGGCGGCGGCGGCTGCTGCGCGCAGTGATGCGGGATCCGCGCCGCGTCCTGCAGCCGCGCGTCTCGCCGCGGCGCGGCCCCTCCCCTCGCCCAGATGTTAATCCTCCTCCAACGGAGCCTTCAGCCGCGCCCCGCGCCCCTCCCTGGGCGTCAACTTCTTCCAGCCCGGCCGGCCTGCGCGCGGGGGCCGCGGGGTCTGTGCGAGAAGGAGCGGCGCAGAGGCGGCTGGGGTCCGAGGGGCGAGGAGTCCGCGCGGCATGGCCGTGACTTGCTGGGCTGGTGAAGGTCCTGCGCCCGCCACGAGCCTGGAGCACTATAAGCAAGCGAGGTGTGAGAGCGTGTGTGTGTGTGTGTGTGTGTGTGTGTGTGTGTGTGTGTGTGTGTGTGTGTGTGTGTGTGTTTGGGGGAGAAGGGACAAAGCGAAGGGTTAGCGAAGGGAACGGGGTAATGACATGGGGGTGCGGCCCCAGCATCCCGCCCGTCCGGGAAACCTGCGTGGGGCAAGTGCGAGCCCAGGAGGAGAGGGGCGCCGCCAGCTGCCTGGCACGGGCTCCGAGGAGCTGCGAGGCCGGTGCGGGGAGAGTTGCGGGGCAGGCGCCGCTCCGGGAAAGGGAGCCGGTCGCTGCGGGAGTTGTTAGGGAAATTGGGAACCGGAGGGAGTAGAGACGCAATCAGAGTTGCAGTTGCTGCTGCAAACGGTTGTTGGTTTGCACTCAAGGAAGGAAAGGATCGGAAACCGCGTCAGCACTCCAGCCCTTGGGCCTGAAACCCCGTCCGGCGGGGTGAGGATTCCTGGAGGTCGAGGCTGCCCCGCGCGCTGGGGAGCGCCGGCCCGGAGCTGTGCGGCGGCTCCGGTGACCTGCGGGGACGCGCGGGGAGCCCGCTGCTGCCACCTGCGGGCCGAAACCTGAAGAGCGGAGCAGACTGTCCCAGGTGGCGGCCCCTAGGGCCTGAGTCTTCAGGATGCAAGGGTCCTGTTTCCTTTGTAGCACCAGGCAGCTAGCATTCCCGATTAACTGTCCCAGGAAGTGAGGATCTGCTAGGGTACCGAGTCATTGGAATGAGGTGCAAGACTGATAAGAAATGAGAAAGGTTCGGGAAACTCACAAGTTATCTTCCCGGTTCCCAAATGATTGCTAACTTTGAATAGATATTAACAGTGCATCAGAGTAACCAAACCTAAAGAAATGGAATAGGACTTAGGGACCCGCCCCCCCCCCCCCCCCCCCCCCCTCCGTCTCCAGAAGCCCGGGACTGAATTTTCAGAAATTTTTTGTCAACCATAGAGAATCAAAAAGGAATTTGATTTGTTAAATTTATGCAACGCGAATATTTTACTATAATGAGAATGCCTACTCTTACGCTCTTTTTTAAAAATCTATTTTTATTGATTTCAGAGACGGAGAGGGAGAGAGAAACATCAATGATGAGAGGGGATTATTGGTTGGCTGCCTCCTGCACACCCCACACCGGGGACTGAGCCACTAACCCATGCATTCCTTGACTGGACTCTAACCCTAGATGGACCCTTCAGTCCCCAGGCCAGCACTCTATCCACTGAACCAAACCCGCTAGGGCAAGAATGCCTACTTTTAATCACCACATTTGTAAATGGGCTTTTCTCTGAAAAATACCTTTTAATGTTAATGAAATTACAAAACCCCAAACCTGCTGTTACCCACTGTGGGCCTGGTAGGTAATAGCAGCTCCACAACTCTTGGTGAAAGTGAAGGCAGAGGTATCTAGTAGCAAATATTTCTGTTAGTAGTTCTGTCATTACACACAGTAGCGGTCCAGGAGCTGCTGGAGAAGCAGGTATCTTGCATTGCCAAACAAAAAGAAAGCTGCACATTGATGTTGAATATTAAAGAAGCTGTTGCCATATTGTGAAAAGCATTCTATTATTTGTTAAAATTCGTAATTGCAATAATGCATGTATGTGGGTCCATCGATAATCCCACAGCAGTTGCCCTGTACCCAGCAAGAGTCTGAGTGGTCCTAGGCTCTGGCCAGGTAGCTCAGTTGGTTAGAGCAGCAACCCAATATGCCAAGTCTGACAGTTCAGTCTCTACTGAAGGCACATATAAGAACCAACCAATGAATATGAATAATTAAGTGGAACAACAAATCTCTCTCCTTTCCCCTCTCTCTCTAAAATACATCTTAAAAAGCAATGAGGGAATGTAATTCCACAACATTTCTTAGAAATCATCTGAGTTCTACCTCTACCTCTCTACCTCTACCACCTCCCTTGACCAGAATCGAACCTGTCACAGGTCCACAGGTCAACACTCTATCCACTGAGCCAAACCTGCCAGGGCTCTTTAGAAGGAAGATAAAACAACTTCAAAAAGAATGATGTATATAACGGAATAATTTCCAGAGCATTCACAGATGCCATTTATGTTGCAAGTCTTCCTTCCTGAATTATTTTCAATTGAGTGGTTATTTTAAAGCAAATAGATGAACCTGGTGAAAGGGAGAAAGAGAGTGAGGAGGGAGTGTGGAAAAGAGAGGCTTTGTAATGACTTCCATGTGAGGACAGCCTGGGATCCCTTTCTCCAACCTCATCTCCCATCCTTTCATTTTATGGTTGGAACACATAATTCCCCAACTTGTACACTATTTCAAGCCTCTGGGGTCTTACTTGGACTGCTCTGTGTCCATGTAGAGCTCCTTTCCCCTCCTTTTGGTACGGATTCAAAACCCTCTGCCTTTCTCCTTTCCTTCTTCTAGGGAAAAAGAAGAGAGAAGAGCTCTGACTGGTTTGGCTCAGTGGATAGAGCATTGGCCTGCAGACTGAAGGGTCCCAGGTTCGATTCTGGTCAAGGGCATGTACTCTAGGAAAGTCTTTCTAATTACCTTTTCCTGTCTGTGCCAGGTCCTCTCCCCTGGGGCTCAGTGCTATCCTGTGCTTATCTCTGTCATGGTTCTAGTGGAAATAATCACTTTCATCCTCTTTTCTAATTAGAGTGGTTTTCAACCTTCCTAATGCCGCGACCCTTTTAATACAGTTCCTCATGTTGTGGTGATCCCCAACCATAAAATTATTTTCATTGCTACTTCATAACTAATTTTGCTACTGTTATGAATCCTAATGTAAATATCTGATCTGCAGGATGTATTTTCAGGGGTTGCAACCCACAGGTTAAGAACCGCTGGTCGGCAAACTGCGGCCCCCTGAGTGTGGCTCTTCCACAAAATACCACGTGCAGGCACGCACGTACAGTGCGATTGAAACTTCGTGGCCACACTCACGGGTCCAAAGAGCCACATGTGGCTCGCGAAGTGAAGTGGTTTCAAATAGGACTTATAACTATTGCTAGTGTCACACTGGTTCAATTTAATAAATTGTTCCTCAAGCCCCATGCAGTCCTACGACTCATTTTACATATAAGCATTAATTGCTTTTTTTCAGCACTGCTGGCTTTCGTGTTTTGCCAAGTGGTATGGGCCTGTACATTAGTGGTTTAACTGGGTCTTCTGTTTATTTCCATTGTTGGCACTATTTAAATGGTTACATTAGCATTCATATTCAGAGAAAAGCAAATTAACCTCATCTTTATAGTTAATGACTACTTTGTGCCTTGTTTTAGATCTACCCGGGAATAAGGAGAGTATGATTCTTTCCTAGTCTTCCTCCAGGAAGTTGATACTGTAATTGAAATCCTGGCCAATAGTCATTGCTGGTGTGGAAAGCAGGACTTTGTGCTTGGTCAGCTTATGGCCAGCTTTCTGTTTAGCCGAGACCTCAGTCTGTGGGCTAGACAGCTATTGTGGTCCCATGCTAGCCCTGGATGTAGTGCTAAGCTTTCAAAGCATAGCTTTCCTGAGAGATTTGAAAAGAGACTAAATCTATATAGGTTTGTAAGGTATATAGCTGGAAACTGATTTTAAATTTATTTTCATATATAGTATTCAGGACCCTTCCGTGGTACCTACATGCAAGAGTATTTTCATTATCTTTTTGACACAAAGTTCCTTAAAGACTGCTTGTGGGCTTTCTGCCTATACATGAGTGTTATTCCCAAGTTTAGTGGCAAGTTTCAGAAAATTACATGGATTAAAGAAGACACTGCCCACAGTGAAAAATGGCCCGAGTCACTCCATCAGGCCTAAGAGAACCCAGAATTACTCTGAACAAGGCAATAAGCACTCAAGAGATTTGGGAGGGAGGGAAGACAGAAGGACCTATACCAGAAAATTATTTGGAAGATTTAATGAATTAACACATAGAGTGTATTTAAAATACTGCATGGAGAAATATGCAGTAAATGTTACTTATTATTACCATTGTGATTTCACAAGGACCCATATGACCAATGAGGAAACTAAGGCATGAAGAAGGCGAACAACTAGAATTTTAGTTCTTAGATTCCATCTCCATTATGAACACCCTGAGAACTATGACCCCTCATACCTGAATCTCTGGGGCCTGGCATAGCCCCTCCCTCCTAGAGTAGCTACTTAGAGAACAAGGAATAGAACACACCTGTCCTCACCATTTCCACTTTTATTGATTAGAGAACTGTCTATTGCTATTACTAAGGTCCTGAGCCTTATTTTGGTATTTGAAATCATATTGCAAGTTGAAAATTAACTAGAAGATGATGAGAATGATGACACTGCCAACAAGAAGCAGAAGACTCATAAGGATGACTAGACAGTAAAAAAGGAAAAGTTAAACTAAAAAAAGAAAAGAAGGCCATCCTGACCTATTCACTCTCCATTCTTGTCTCGGAATCTAAAGGTGGTCACCTTTGAATAGAGAGTCTTGTCGGCCTGCCCACCATGGGCAGTGCCACCTGCAGATGACATGAACTCTCCACCACCCAATCAGAACTACAA